TTTTCAAAGAAATCTTTTAGGAAATCTTTGTAGCTCTTTTGATTCAAAATCAAGTCATCCAATTCCTTGCGATGTATCTCAGTCTTCAATTGAATAGCATGATGTTGCAAGTGGATAGATTCTTGGTCGACGACTGTCAAGGACAGAATTGCCCTTGTACAACAGCGAAACTCTTGCTCCAATGCCGCCCAAAATCAACAGTAAAAAAAGAAAATCTTCTAAACGATCTCCGTGAATTTGCTGTAACCCCAAGAGGGAAAGAAGAAGTCAATAACCTTCTTGCAAAAGACCAAGAGGAGCAGATGTTTGGAGCAATAGTTCATGGCATTGTGTTGTTTACGACGATAGAATCTATTGAAAAGCATACACTGATAAAAATATATCATTGTCATGCTGTTTGTTGAAGCTAAGGTATCAACTAAAGCCTGAAGAAAATAAAACAAGTTCGAATTTTCCTGGGTTGGACCAAAGATTTGTGACAAGTTGTTGTGCTGATAAAGTCCCTTTACAGTCAAAGTTGTTGTCGGAGAAACATTGAGATGAAGACGTAGCGCGCCAGCCCTCCAGCTCAATGTTTCTCCGAAACTGTAGTGTTGAGCCCCTTTTCAATCTCTTGTTTTTGACGGACGAAAAAAAAAGGGGCATAGCCCCATTTTTATTGTCTATTGCTTTTTGCTTGAGCACCTAAGAAAAAGTGTGAAATCATATAGTAAAAGTTTTCATTAATGTATAATATATAAAAATGATCCGTATGACGGATCATCTGACGGATCATCTGGGTACATTTTCACGTGCGTGAGTTTGACGGATCATTTACGGATCATTTGCGGATCATCTCTGGCCGTACCATCCTGTAGAGTCAGGTACTAGACGGATCATTTCCCAGATTTCACCTCACCCTATCCAAGAATTTCCGAAACACCAAAATGACAATCAATCATCATATTTTGCCGGAGCTCTTGTTACCCATACAAAGCATGTCATACAATGAGGTCTTTTCCCAGTCAAAAATCTAATAGATGTGAGTATCCCAATTGTTTTAAAAGGTACAATTGACAAAGGCTCTCATTGAGATGTCATCAAGCAAGTTCAGGTGCATGGCCATGGCTCAAGATCAACGTCAAATCAAACACTACAATCAGCCAGCAAACCCTACAACAATATCAGGTGGTCCTAATAATCGATTTGGTTCTACATTCAGGCAAGAATTGATTGATTGTCGAATACTTTTTTGCAACAGAGCAGAGATTGGGGAGAATAATCGGAAATTGAAGTCACAAGGCCATCAATCAAGAACGATGTCAAATCAAACACAACAACCAGCCAATGACTTCACTAGATATATACAACTGCACGTTGCAACTCCCCTTCTTGTCCCTGTCTCAGGCCAATCTCCATGTTGACGTAGTTCTGTGCGTTGATGTCCTCAGTCTCTGTGGTCCCCTGGAGCGTACCATTGTCAACATCTTCGGCCTTGATCAACTTGTTGAAGTTGCATTTGAATTCTTCGTCTTCTGATTCAAGGTCAAACATCAATTGTGGCGGTATCTCATCTTTCCCCCAACTGATGTCTCCTGTCCTTGCATCAAGGATTTTGGATACATCAGTTGTCCATTGCGCCATTTGTTCTTTGACCACGTCGGTCTATTTCTCTGTTTCTGTGATGTTCTGGACTGTGTCAGTCGAGATTGGGCGGCCACTCTTTGGTAATATCCAATACGTCATCATTGGACCCGTTCTGTGTGACACTCCCAACCATCGTCCTATTTTGTTTGTCCCCAGGGCGCCGTCCGTTTGGTAGTATACCCATCCATGAATCGTAAAGTCCATGTATTCTGTAATGTCCGGCGTGATGCCAGTTATCACTTCAAGCGGTACTCGTCCGTCAGAATATCTTGAGTAGTTGGCGGTGATGTTCATGGTATCAACGACATAGTCGAGCACAAAGTCCCATAGCCGTTGTGGTATCGCATGCTTGACTATCAATCTGTAGAATCGGCGCTTGAGCTCTCTGATCCCCCCTTCGGCTGGGTTTTCTTCCGGTCGGTATGGTCTGGAGATGTGGTAGTTAATCGCGGCTCTGTTGATCGTTTCCATAAAGCTCGTGTTGCGTCCCACTTGTACTGCTGCTCCGTCCATCGTGAGGTGCTCTGGTATACCGTAGTCAGCTATGAATTTCTTGAGGGTCGGCCCAACTTGCTTGTCGTCCACTTTTGAGAGATGATGGCAACTGTAGAAACCGCTCTTGTGGAAATAGATCTGGCTTGCGATGTTGCCTCGTATCGACTTGTGGTTGAAATAGGCTGTGTCGGTTGAGAACTTGCCTTTCAGTCTTGGTCTTAGGAACATGCGGTCTGCTCGGTACCTCCTTGCCAGTGGTAGTATGGCGGATCGTGTTCCCCTTTGTAGTGTTGATCTCAAGGTGGCGCGTGCTCTGTGCAAACCGATTCCTAGTCGTTCAGATAGGTTTTCTGCCGTTGCTTTGGTGTGTCGTTCCGTGGATACAAAGGACGGCCTCACAGGTACATCTGCAAATCGTGCATCATCGTCCATTCGTCCAACTTGTTGGAAGAATCTCTCCCCATCGACTATTGTCTGCTGTACCGTGCGCCATTCGTTCATTCCTTGCATGATTGGATCCAATTGTCTCAATTCAGCTTCGTTGGATCTTGGGTCATCTATTGGGTCTTTGTGGACAATTGAGACTTTCCCAAGTTGTACGGTACCTGGGTTCCAAGGCACTTTGCTCGTCATATCAATGTGGGGGCAATTTGCAAGATCTTGATCAGTTGGGGCCCTTGAATCAAATAGTAACTTTGTCCCCTTTGCCTTGAGTGCAACGAATATTGGCTTGGTTTTGATGCCAATATTCCTCATCTCATCAAACGGATTATCCCATAGGGGAATTCTGAACTTGCGGACTTGGTTTGGGTTGATCAATGAATGGTCTAACCGGTTCCCATAGTAAAGTGCTTCCTTGAATATCAATATGAACGTGTTGCCGCTCTGTGGGCAGTCATAAGCGGTCGCCCCAGATACAATTGGTACATTGGTTGGTGGTAGAGCTGGGTCGTACGCGTACACATCGGCCAATCTTGGTGTGTAGCTCATGATGACAAAGTTCTTGCCAAGGGAACAAAAGTCGGCGTTAGTATCCATTTCATTGCTTGCCGTCGTTCCTGGTGTTGGTTGTTGCACTGGTCGCTGGGATGCGGCTGTGTTGGATGAGATCACCCTTACAATTCGTCTGATCTCACTTATCGCATTTCAGGTTCCACCGCTTGTCTGTTGGTTGTTTGCCTGTTGGTTGCGTCCGCCCATTGCTGTAGTTCCAGTCGTTCCCATAGTCACTTGTGATATCTGTGTGGCTGCTTTGGCTGGAATCGTAGCAGGTACGTTGTTGGATCTAATCAATGCTACTTTGGCTTGCAATTCCGCCAGCTGCGTTTCCACTTGTTGCGTTTGTGCGGCTTGTCCCGTTGCCTGTCTTGCTGGTAATCCTTGACTTTCTCTGTATGCGGCTCTTTCCTTCGCCATATGCTCGCGTTGCTTGTTGGTAAACGCTTGCAGGTGTGTCCGAGAGAAACGGTAGCTAGGATGGTACCAGATCTTCTCTCCATTACTCAGAGTAATTAGCCGTTCTGGTATTGCATGCTTGACTATCAATCTGTAGAATCGTCGCTTGAGCTCTCTGATCCCCCCTTTGGCTGGTTTTCTTCCGGTCAGTATGGTCTGGATATGTGATAGTTAATCGCGGCTCTGTTGATCGTTTCCATAAAGCTCGTGTTGCATCCCACTTGTACTGCTGCTCCGTCCATTGTGAGGTGCTCTGGTATACCGTAGTCAGCTATGAATTTCTTGAGGGTCGGCCCAACTTGCTTGTCGTCCACTTTTGAGAGGTGATGGCAACTGTAGAAACCGCTCTTGTGGAAATAGATCTGGCTTGCGATGTTGCCTCGTATCGATTTGTGGTTGAAATAGGCTGTGTCGGTTGAGAACTTGCCTTTCAGTCGTGGTCTTAGGAACATGCGGTCTGCTCGGTACCTCCTTGCCAGTGGTAGTATGGCGGATCGTGTTCCCCTTTGTAGTGTTGATCTCAAGGTGGCGCGTGCTCTGTGCAAACCGATTCCTAGTCGTTCAGATAGGTTTTCTGCCGTTGCTTTGGTGTGTCGTTCCGTGGATACAAAGGACGGCCTCACAGGTACATCTGCAAATCGTGCATCATCGTCCATTCGTCCAACTTGTTGGAAGAATCTCTCCCCATCGACTATTGTCTGCTGTACCGTGCGCCATTCGTTCATTCCTTGCATGATTGGATCCAATTGTCTCAATTCAGCTTCGTTGGATCTTGGGTCATCTATTGGGTCTTTGTGGACAATTGAGACTTTCCCAAGTTGTACGGTACCTGGGTTCCAAGGCACTTTGCTCGTCATATCAATGTGGGGGCAATTTGCAAGATCTTGATCAGTTGGGGCCCTTGAATCAAATAGTAACTTTGTCCCCTTTGCCTTGAGTGCAACGAATATTGGCTTGGTTTTGATGCCAATATTCCTCATCTCATCAAACGGATTATCCCATAGGGGAATTCTGAACTTGCGGACTTGGTTTGGGTTGATCAATGAATGGTCTAACCGGTTCCCATAGTAAAGTGCTTCCTTGAATATCAATATGAACGTGTTGCCGCTCTGTGGGCAGTCATAAGCGGTCGCCCCAGATACAATTGGTACATTGGTTGGTGGTAGAGCTGGGTCGTACGCGTACACATCGGCCAATCTTGGTGTGTAGCTCATGATGACAAAGTTCTTGCCAAGGGAACAAAAGTCGGCGTTAGTATCCATTTCATTGCTTGCCGTCGTTCCTGGTGTTGGTTGTTGCACTGGTCGCTGGGATGCGGCTGTGTTGGATGAGATCACCCTTACAATTCGTCTGATCTCACTTATCGCATTTCAGGTTCCACCGCTTGTCTGTTGGTTGTTTGCCTGTTGGTTGCGTCCGCCCATTGCTGTAGTTCCAGTCGTTCCCATAGTCACTTGTGATATCTGTGTGGCTGCTTTGGCTGGAATCGTAGCAGGTACGTTGTTGGATCTAATCAATGCTACTTTGGCTTGCAATTCCGCCAGCTGCGTTTCCACTTGTTGCGTTTGTGCGGCTTGTCCCGTTGCCTGTCTTGCTGGTAATCCTTGACTTTCTCTGTATGCGGCTCTTTCCTTCGCCATATGCTCGCGTTGCTTGTTGGTAAACGCTTGCAGGTGTGTCCGAGAGAAACGGTAGCTAGGATGGTACCAGATCTTCTCTCCATTACTCAGAGTAATTAGCCGTTCTGGTATTGCATGCTTGACTATCAATCTGTAGAATCGTCGCTTGAGCTCTCTGATCCCCCCTTTGGCTGGTTTTCTTCCGGTCAGTATGGTCTGGATATGTGATAGTTAATCGCGGCTCTGTTGATCGTTTCCATAAAGCTCGTGTTGCATCCCACTTGTACTGCTGCTCCGTCCATTGTGAGGTGCTCTGGTATACCGTAGTCAGCTATGAATTTCTTGAGGGTCGGCCCAACTTGCTTGTCGTCCACTTTTGAGAGGTGATGGCAACTGTAGAAACCGCTCTTGTGGAAATAGATCTGGCTTGCGATGTTGCCTCGTATCGATTTGTGGTTGAAATAGGCTGTGTCGGTTGAGAACTTGCCTTTCAGTCGTGGTCTTAGGAACATGCGGTCTGCTCGGTACCTCCTTGCCAGTGGTAGTATGGCGGATCGTGTTCCCCTTTGTAGTGTTGATCTCAAGGTGGCGCGTGCTCTGTGCAAACCGATTCCTAGTCGTTCA